GGTGGTCAGAGAGCCACACTGATATGATGGACCCTGGGGACTTTGGGGACAAGAGGGGACATGAGGACATCTTTGTGATGTACACACTCCTCACAAGTGCCCATCCTGCTCAGGCCCACCCCCTTTAAAAAAAATATTTATTTATTTGGTTGCGCCGGGTCTTAGTTACAGCTTGCAGGATCCCTAGTTGTGGCATGCATGTGGGATCTGGTTCCCTGACCAGGGATAGAACCCAGGTCCCCTGCATTGGGAGCACGGAGTCTTATCCACTGCGCCACCAGGAAAGTCCCTGCTCTGGCCCTTTGAACCAGCCCTTCGTAGAATTTTGGATCCTGGAATGAGGCTGCTGGCATTTGGGACAGCTGGGGACGAGGCGTGAATCTTGAAATCAGCCCAAAGGAGCACAGAGGGCCAGATGGAGCAGGTAAGGGCAGGCAGCCTGGGAAGGGAGCTGGCCTCCACCAGCCGACCCAGGGACATGGCTGCGCCATCCAGGTCCTCCCTGCCTTACTCCCTTGTTACTGCCAATGGTCAGTCTACGTGTTTATAAATATTTGTTTCAAGTTGGTTCACCACAATACAAATTTGCACACACAGCAGGGTTTTCTGGGGATAATTTACTTCCTTCCAGACAAACCCGGGCCCTGACCCCTCCCCAGAAGAACAACCACTGCCACCAGGTATTTTCCCCACGTTGCTTAAATTTAACAGAAAAAATAAAAACAGAAGTGAGGTGGAAGAATCTCCAGTCATTGGAAAGTATTTATTTTTTACAAGAGATATTAGTTCCCAAAAGATGATGGAAACGCCGGGAAAAAGGAGTCACTTGGTTTGGTTCCCCTCCTTCTGACACCACCCTCTCCCCCACCTCCTAACTGCTGACAAGCTGGAAGGACCAAAAGGCAGTGGAAGGAGCACCCAACACAGCACCCAGAGGTCCAGTACCACCTCTGGGAGGCTGCTCTGAGCTTGGCTCCCACAGCTGCCCTCCCCATCTCCAGGGGCTGGGCAGCGGCCTTCCCAGACCACCCAACTGCCTGGCAGTGGCAGGGGCTGGGGGGCGTGTGCAGCTTGTCCTCATGGCCAAGTTGCCATCCTGCTGGTGCTACAAGCTGGGGGTCTGTCCCTGGAGCTCAGATCCATGCTCGGTGGCCAGGAGGACCCCTTCTCAGGGCTGATGGGAGTGGGGATCCTGCCCTCTCCTTGCCCACACCTGTGACCCTTAAGGATGCCCATCCCGTTGTGTCCCATCCTCACAGCCACACTGTAATAGGGAAGAACTTTTGTATTCTATTACATGTTAATCGCTAAAGGGATGTTGCCTATAAGCTTAAATTATACATAATGGCCCATCTCTGGGAACCCTGCCTCCCAGGTAATGAGCATTAAGCTAAAATACCTTTGTTTAGCTCACAAGAAACATCCTGACCAGGCCCACCTGTGAATGACTGCAGGGAGGAAGAAATTAACACATCCCCTCCCGAGACTGACCTGAACCAGGAAATGCTTGACTTTGACTCCCTCCCTTAGTATAAAAGAAGCCTGAATTCTAACTCAGGAAAGATAGTTCTTTGGAGCACAAGCCCACCATCTTCTCAGTTTGCGGGCTTTCCAAATAAAGCCGTTATTCCTTGCCCCAACAATTTGTCTCTCGATTACTGGCCTGTCATGCGGCAAGCAGTATGAGCTTAGACTCGGTAACACGCCATAGCTTTACATCATCGAAATCTAAACACTAAATGCTGTGTTTTGTGTATCTTTGTTGCACAGAGGTTTTGCCTCCGTCACATTTGTAACAGCTGAGCTCTGGTCTTGATTCTGCTCGAGGATGCCCAAGTCCCCCCCCCCCCCCCTCCCTGGAGGCCTGGAGGGCCATCCAGTGTCCAGGACCGAGGGGGCCTGTCCCGGCCTCCTGAGAGGAGGCGGTTGGCAGTCCTGCCCCCACCCTGGCCTCTCCAGCAATCTTTTCACCCGCCTGCCCAGATTTCATTTGTGGGTGGTCTTTCCCAGAAAGGCTGGGCAGGGTGCTGGGCAGGGTCGGAGGTCTGGGGTCTGCCTGTCGCCTTTGGGCCTGAACCACAGCTTGGCTTCTGAAAGCTTCCAGATTCCACCTCCCCTGTAAACACTGACCCAATTCCCCACCCTCTCAGGGTGACAGGCTTGTTCTGAGTCGAGGCCTAAATGACTCTTTAGGCCTGAATGTCAGTGACAACCAGGATGTTTGTCTCGGGGTCGTCCTGGTACAGTTCCTAGAGCCACAGGGCTGCCCTTGGTCTGTACGTCAGCTCCTCCCTGTCCCTGCTTGGCCTCTGCGGTGTCTTCGAGGACATTTTCTGCCTGAGTTACAGGGTCACCTCTGACCATTTCTCTGCCCTCGACCTTCCTGAGTGTCCTGGCGTTTCTAGTCCGTGTCCTGCTGTCCACGCCCTCCAGCCCTTTGCTCCCTCAGCCGCCCCTCCCTCACCATGGCCGTGTCCCCTCCTCTCTGAGAGCGGACGGTTAATTGGAGCGATTCCTCTAGTTCTTTCTGATGCCCTTGGCCCCTGATTGGGTTAACTCTCCACGACTGGGTGTTTGGCGTGTCTCCGCACAGGCTGCGGACTTTCTTTTTCTGCCCCCCTTTCCTTCCTCTGTTTCTGGCACCCCATTTGCAGGTCACTCTGCCCCTTATCTGGGCCTGCCTCGTTTCTGGCCCCGCTGCTCTGAAGCAGTTCAGTTCCCCGGCTCCTCGGTGGCTGCCCTCCCTCCACCCTGGCCCAGGGCCCAGGGCCTCCCGGGGGACCTGCCCCAAGAGGGTGGAGCCAAAGGGGGTGCTACCTGGCCGCCCAGTCCCAGGGCCGGAGCTCAGGGAGACCAGGAGCAGAGGCCTCCCCACCCTCCGTACACTGGTCTCTCTGGCCAAGGTGCTCCAGCTGCTGGGTTCAGGCCTGTGGTGACAGAGCCGGGACGTGGCTCCCACAAAGGGGCTGAAGAGAGGCCGGCTGCTGACCATAGGGCCGAGTGGCCTCCCTGTGGCTTGTGGCTCTCACAGCACGGCCACTAGGTTCCAGAGGGACCTTCCCAGAGCCAGTGTTCCAGAAGACCACTTGAGAGGTTTTAATAGTTTCCCTGAGGGGACTTCCCTGGTGGTGCAGTGGTTAAGACCCCCTGCTCCTCAGGCAGATCAGCTCCGTGCTCTGCGACAACCTAGAGGGGTGGTGTAGGGAGGGTGGGAGGGATGCTCAAGAGAGAGGGGATATGGGGATGTATGTATGCTTATGGCTGATTCACTTTGTTGTACAACAGAAACTAACACAGCATTGTGAAGGAATTATACTCCAATAAAGATCTATAAAAAAAAAAAAAGACTCCATGCTCTCAATGCAGGGGGCCTGGGTTTGATCCCTGGTCAGGGAACTAGATCCCACATGCATGCTGCAACTAAAAGTTTACATGCCTCAACTAAGGAGCCCACCTGACACAACTAAGACCCAGCGCAACCAAAAAAAAAAAAAAAAGTTTCACTAATGTGTCATTTATCCTAACACACGATGAACTGCACACAATCACAGTGCACAGTTTTAGAAGTTTGTGCAGACAATACACCCTGAAAGCATCACCCCAGGCAAGATGGCAAACATCACCCCCCCAAAGTTTCCTCCTGCCCCTCTTCGTTCTCCCCATTCTCGGACAATCACTGACAGGCTGTAGATTCCTATAGATTCATTTCATGGATTTCTTATGGATTTCTATACTCTATACTTTCATATAATGGAAACATGTAACGTTCTCTCTTTTTGTCTGACTTCCTGGCTCAGCATAAGTACTCTGAGGTCCATCCAAGTTGCTCACGACATTTAATGCTGGGCACCATCCCATTTTATGGATGGAGATACCTCAGTGTGCTTGTACACTCACTCCCTGATGGACATCAGGGCTGTCTCCAGTTTGGGGATATTACGAATAACGCAGCTATGAAAACTCGTGTACAATGTTTGTATGGACATACACGCACTTTCGTTTCTCTTGGTAAAAACCACTAAGAAAGTGACAAACTGTTTTCCAAAGTGGTTGTACCATTTTCATCCACTGGTAGCAGAGGAGTTTCAACTCCCACCAGCACTTGGTAGAGTCAGTCTTTTTAACTTTAGCCATTTTCATAGTGTGTAGTGGGGTCTCACTGTGGTTCTAATTTACATTTTCCAAATGACTAAAGATGTGGAGCATCTTTCATGGGCTTACTTAGTTGTCATCTATGTATCTTCTTTGGTGAGGTATCTGTTCAAATGCTTTGACCATGTTTTTACAATTAAATTGTTTTCTTTTTATTGAATTTTGAAAAACATAACCCCACCAAGCTATTTCAATTTTCCTTATGGGAAGATTTTAGTTTAGTTTAGTTTAGTTCCTTTTTTTTTTTTGGCCACACGGCATGCGGAATCTTAGTTCCCCAACCAGGGATCCAACCCTTGCCCTCGGCAGTGAAAGCACAGAGTCCTAACCACTGGACCGCCAGGGAATTCCCAAGGGAAGATTTTAAACTAACAGTTCCATTTCTTTAATAGATACAGGGCTATTCAGGTTATCTTCTTCATTGGTGAGCTTTGGTAGTTTGTGTTTTTCAAGGAATTTGTCAAAGGTATTGGCATAGAGCTGTTTATAATATTACCTTATTATTCTTTTAATCACTATTGATTACTAATTGTTCATGTTTTCTAAGTTATGCATTTAAGGCGATAAAGTTTTTCCTCTGAGACTGACTTGGGCTCTATTCCACAAGTTTTTGACCAATAGTGTTCTCTCATTATTTGTCATTTAAAATTTTTAATTTGCTCTTTTACTCAAGAGTTAGTTATCTGAAGACTTTTTTTTTTTTAAGTTTCAAACTATTTATTAATCAGTGTAAACCCCATCACAATACACCAACATGATTTTGTGCGTTTAGAGGGAAAATATTTCCTGGTTAAGTGGAAAATTGTGCGGATGGCTTCTGGAAGACCTTCATTCTAAACTGCTTTTCAGTGAAACATTTCATTTAGAAGTCTGGACCTTCTTTCTTCAGTTTGCTGTAATCTACATTCACTGAGTAGAACTTGTACTGATCATTGGGACCCAGTTTGTTCCAGGGTTCTGGGTTATTCTCTCTGTCCCAACTGACATCTGGATTGAACAATGCCAGGCGCAAAACATACAGCGCTGCTCCAGTACCTCCCGCTCCAATAAATATGAAGAGGGGGATCAAGCTAGGATGCTCCTTGGCCTGACCGATGATCTGGGGGATCATGGTTGCAACAGAAGCCTCGAGTCCAGACGGAGAGAACGACAAACGTGCAAAGCCTCTTATTTTTTAAAATAAGACAAATCCATAATTATAGCTGGAGACTTCACCACCTCTCTCTCAGTAGTTGACAGAAAACTAGACAGAAAATCACCCGGGATGTAAAAGACCTCAGCATCATCAACCGACAGGATCTAATCGGCATTGATCGGACATTCTACCCACAACAGCAGGACACAACTTCTTTTCACAACACAGCGTACTAGCCACCATACAATCACGATCATGGCAAGCCACCAGGAGTCACTTGGACATACACTCTGTTGAAACGCCTCAACAGATTTAAACGAGTTGAAATCATACAAATTATGTCTCTGACCACAGTGGACTCAAACTAGAACTCTTCAACAGAAAGATAACAAGAAAATCCAAACACTTGGAAACTAAACAACACATTTCAAAATCATTAGTAGGTCAAAAGAGGGAAACTACAAAATAAGTTGAACTGAATAAAAATGAAAATACAACATACAAAAATGTGTGGGCAGCAACAAACAGGGTTTAGAGGGAAATTCATAGCATTAAATGTTTATATTAGAAAAGACTATGTAAGAATGTATTTTTCAAATGAAAAAAATGTAAACTTCTACCTTATGAACTAGAAAAAGAAGAGCAAAAATAAACTGAAAGCAAGCAGAAGGAAAGGAAATTCTAAAGGCAGCAGAAATCAATTAAAATGTAAATGGACAAATAATAGAGAAAATCAATGAAACAAAAAGCATTTCTTTGAAAAGATCAATCAAATTGACAAATTCTAGAAAAACTGATAAATGGGGACATCACTACAGATCTTTCAGACACCAAAAGGAAAGTAAGGGAATATTACAAACAACTATAAAAATTTGACTATTTAGATGAAATGGAACAAATCCTAGAAAAGCATAAATTACCACAACTTACCCAATTTGAAATGGATCATGGGAATAGCCGCATAACTATTATGGACATTGAACTCATAATTTTAAAAATCCCAAAGAAAGAACTCTCCAGCCCAGATGGTTTCATGGAGAATTCTACCAACATTTAAAGAAAAATTTTACACAATCTCGTCCAGAAAATAGAAGAGGAGGAGATACTTCTCAATTCATTTTATGAAGCTAGTATTACCCAGATACCATACCCAAACAAAGACAATACAAAATAAGAAAACGAGAGACAAGCAATTCTCGTGATATAGATGCAAAAAACCTACAGCTAACATTATACTTAACAATGAAAGACTGAATGCTTTCCCTGTAAATCAGAACGAGGCAAGGCTGTCCACTCTCACCACCTTTATGCAGTGTAGTACCGGAGGTTCTAGCCAGTGCACGAAGATGAGAAAATAAAATAAAAGGCAGCCATACATGAGAAGGAAGAACTAAAACTGCCCCTATTTCGGATGATATGACTATCTATGTAGAAAATCCCAAGGATGCTACAAAAGAAAAAAACAAAACAAAACAAAAAACCTCCTAGAACTAAATTTTTCTTTTTAGTGTAAAAAGAAAGTTGTTTTTTGTTTTTTTTTAAGAATGTCATATTCTTAGAAACTAAAATGTGCACTCCTAAATAACAGCTGCTGAAGAGACAGCCACAACAGAAATTATGAAAAATTTAGAATTGCCCAACAACGAAAATATGACACATAGAAAGTTGCAACACTGAAGGGAAGCTTATAGCCTTAAATGCATTTATCACAAAACTATGTTAAAAAAAAAAAAGTATCTAAGCATTCAACTTAAGCAATTACAAAAAGAACAGAGTAAATCCCAGTGAGAGCAGAAGAAAATACCAAAGATAAGGACAGAAACGAATGAAATAGAAAATGACTCACAATAACTCAAAACTGGTACTTTAAAAAGATGTGTCAGGGCTTCCCTGGTGGCGCAGTGGCTAAGAATCCGCCTGCCAGTGCAGGGGACACGAGTTCGAGCCCTGGTCCGGGAAGATCCCACATGCCGCGGAGCAACTAAGCCCGTGCGCCACAACTACTTAGCCTGTGCTCTAGAGCCCGCGAGCCACAACTACTGAAGCCCGCGTGCCTAGAGCCCGTGCTCTGCAACAACAGAAGCCGCCGCAATGAGAAGCCTGCGCACCGCAATGAAGAGTAGCCCCTGCTCGCTGCAACTAGAGAAGGCCCGCACTCGGCAACAAGGACCCAACGCAGCCAAAAATAAAATAAAAATAATAAAATAAAAAAAAATAAAAAGATGTGTCAAATCATCACACCACTAACATGTCCAACAAGGACAATGAGAAAAGACACAAACCTGCAACGAGAGAAAACACACAAAAGAAATATTAGAGACTGAAATTATTAGTGAATCCTACAAACAACTTGACACCAGTACGTTTGAAAGGCAAGAAGAAATGGGTAAGGCTCTAGAAAAACACAGAGGCTGAATGTACACTGGGACAATGGCTATTAGATATGCCAACAGAGCTTGGCCGGCCCCAAACGGCCAGGACTTGGCCAACACCTGCCAGCTTCCCTAATTTCTGCCTCCGCTTCCAGCTCAGGACCAATCAGAGAAAGCCAAGTAGGCTCCCCTAAGCAACCACACAGGTTGCAGCACCTTCAGTTGGCCGCCCACAGCTTCCCCGAGCCCACTTGGGGCACATCTGAGCCCCCCTTTCACTATGAAGCTGTCCCCTCCTCTGCCTGCCTTTGAGTCTCTGCCAACATGCAAGTGATGGGGCTGTCTCCCTGCTAGAGCAAGCTGAGTACACAGCCCCGCTTGTTCTCATTTGCGTGGTCTTCGGTTATAGCCACAATATGTATTACCAAAATTCACACAGGCACACCAGATCTAGCTGGTTTCACAGGTGAATTTTTACTAAGCGTTCATGGAGCAGAAAAATCGCTATCTTAAAAACTTCACAGAAGGCTAGCATGATCTCAACTCCAAAATGAAAATGAAAAGACCAATCTAATTTCTGATCATAAATGCAGCAAGCCTAAAGAAACTGTTAATAAACTGAAGTCAGCTGTATATCAAAAACGTCAGACCTCTGATCATGCCGGGCTTAGAGCAGGATTTCAATGTCAGCAAACTGACGAATGTACTTCCCGATACAGGTTAAAGGAGAAAAAAAATCCATGATCACCTCAGTAGTTGCAGAAGGAGGATCTGAGACAATCTAATACTCATTCGTGATTTTTTAAAAATCGCCTGGCAGCCTAGGAGTAGAAGAACAACTTCTTGATCTGATAAAAGGCATTGTCTTCAAACGATATAATAAAATTAACACCCATCAATTATAGGAGGAGAGATAGACATTTGATTATATAACAAATTTTGGAATTATGCATGGCAAAAGACTCTATAAAGAAATACACACACATGGGACTTCCCTGGCGGTCCAGTGGTTGAGACGTCGCGCTTCCACTGTGCAGACGTGGGTTCAATCCCTGGTAGGGGAACTGGGTTCCCGCAGGCCACGTAGTGTGCCCAAAAAAAAAAAAAAAAATACAAGAAATACACACACAAACATGCACACAACAGACCAGAGAAAACATTTGCAAAGTATACAATAAAAAGTTCCTAATATACTAATTGCTCTTACAAATTACCGTACTAAGAAAAAACCACCTGATAGGAAAATGGGCTAACACTGCAAACCTTTTCTGGGCTGTACACCCTGCATTAATCAGGAATCTTTTGATTACATGGTACAGAAACCCAGTTCAAACCGACTTGTGCATGAGGGAATGTATCGGCTCACCTGGGCTTCCGGCATGGCTCAATCCAGGTGCTTCATCCATTTCTCTTTTCCTGTCTCAGTCCTGCTTTCCTCCACATGGCTTCATTCCCAGGCAGCCTCTCCTCAAACCCTGTCCACATTCTGCCAGCTTGGATTCCCCATGGAGAAGGGGACAGCAAAGACCTGGATGACCTCTCACTGCCCCCACCTCGGCCATTTGCCTGCCTGAATCAACTTCAGCTGCCAAGAACAGGCTGGCCCGCCAAGCCTGGGTTTCCAGCTTCCCCCAGACTGAGTGGGGAGAGAATCCCCAAAGGGAAACCAAGATACTCTCACCAGAAAAGTGGGGAGAGACCGGAGACTGCTGTGTAGGCAAAAGAGAGTGGGCCCATCGAACCCCGTTTAGAAATTAAAACAAACAAAAAATAAAGAAAGAAAGAAAGAAATTAAAACAGCTCTGGATCCCCTTTCTGCTCAGAGAATTTCTTCTTCCACCAAATGATTCGGAACATCTATTACGTGCTTTAAAACACAGAGTACTTGCCCTCCTGGGGCGTCCAGACCTGGATTCTAATTAACTAATTGCACAAACACCATGGAAGCAAAACAAGAAAGGAGTTCCGGAGCCTGCCTGGGTCTGAGACCTGAAGAAAGGCGGGAGAGAGGCAGGAGAGCTCCAGCCGGAGAACCGACCACTCGCTAAACCCCTGCGGTGGGCGGGAGCTCGGGGCCTGAGTCCCAGGATGGAAGCCTGAGGGCGGAGGGCGGAGGGCGGACTGACAGGGACTGGGCTATGCGGTCAGGAGCAGTTAGAGGGCCTTAATCAAGGCAATGACTGGGTCAGGTGTGGATATTAAAGGATTTCCTGGGCTAGCAGTTCATCACACAATTAAACATAGAGTTACCATATGACCTAGCAATTCTTCTCCTAGGTTTATTCCCAAGAGAAATGAAAATATGTGTCTACATGAAAAGCTGTACACGCGTGTTCGCAGCAGCCTTACTCAGTCCCCAAAAGGTGGAAACAACCCAAATGTCCATCTGTGTGTGAAGGGGGTAAACAGATTGTGATCCACCATTCAATGGGCTCCTACTCAGCCTTTAAAAGGAATGAGGGCCTCACACCTGCTACAACACGGATGCACCTTGAAGACATTAAGCTCGGTGAAAAGAGCCAGACACAGAAGGACAAACAATGCATGATCCCACTACCTGAGGTTCCCTAGAACAGGCAAACTCATAGAGACAGAAAGTGTATT